CAACCCGTTACCATGGAAACCACTGTGGTTCTGTAGCACTGCAGACGACGATGCATGGCTTCAGGCAGACAGGAGTCGACACAATACCAGATTTTTTAAAACTTTGATTTGATTCTAGTTAAAAATCAGACGATGTTGATGTCCTGTTTGTTACCGCGGCAACAGAAAAATAAGTCCTAGCCACCCAATATTGGGTCAAATATTGTTTTATTCACGATAAAAACTCCTGCACACTGTATCCAAATAGCACAACAACAACATCGGAAACATTTTGGTCCTGAAATGTTTAAAATGTATTTGTACAAGTATTTTTTTTGTGTGACCATCGTTTAAATTTCACAAAAACATCAGGATTTGTACGTTGCCAATGCAATTAAAAAATCAATAATAAAATAAAATAAATGATCTGGGAGGTGGGGAGCGTGGGAAAAAATAAAATATCACCACACTCAACATCTAAAAGGCAAAAAACTACAGACAGCTGCTGTTTTCTCTGGTTTCTCTGCTGCCCTCACTCTTTGTCTTCATCCCTCTCTCTCTCCTGGGAGATCAGACAGAAGAGAGCGAGAGAGAGAGAGAGAGTGTGTGTGTGTGTGTGTGTGTGTGTGTGTGTGTGTGTGTGGGACAGCGTGTCCTGCATATTCTCTCTTACACAGCCGACACAAGGCCGCAGTGTGACTTTACAAACTCGCTTCTCTGACAGAAACCCAGCAGCCAGGATGTCCTCCTTTTTTTGGAGTCCGTTTTGGACGCCCCTCGGTTTGCCAGACATGAGACCAGTTATCAGGTCAAACCAACCAGGTGTTTGCAGCGATGGAAGCGGCTTGAATCCATCCTGAATGTTACTGTGTGATGTCACACAATCATCTTAATCCTCCTGATCACAAACGGAAACCTTTTATTTTGTGTTTTTGTGCGTGCAGGTTCTTCCTCAAGTTCTTCCTGAAGTGTAACCAGAACTGTTTGAAAAACGCCGGAAACCCCCGAGACATGAGGAGGTTCCAGGTAACACACACACACACACACACACACACACACACACACACACACACACACACTCAATGATGAATTCATTTCCCCAAAGGGCAGGACATGGCTTCAGAGGACCCGCTGTACCCACAATGCACTGCAGCGGGGCGGCCCCAGGCTTATTGCTTTGCAGATATAATAAGAGAGGTCGACGGGGAGCGGTCGCCCTCTCTTCCTGTCTGAGTGAAGAATTCACTTGACCCATTGTTAGATTTTTTTACAAGCATCTCAGGCCTTTTTTTTGCTTGTTATGTCCCAAAATATGATGGGACAAATATTTATGGGATCTTTTATTACTTGTAAAAGGTGCAAAGAAATATTTTGGACTAGAAATGAAATAAATACTTTTGCTTGGATTGAGTTTTTTCAGTGCAGGAGGCATCATCGATATATTTATGACTGCAAGGTGTTAGAGCAAAGATGTGTGTGTGTGTGTGTGTGTGTGTGTGTGTGTGTGTGTGTGTGTGTGTGTGTGTGTGTGTGAGTGTGTGTGTGTGTGTTGTGGTGTTTAAGGGGTTAATGAATATTTTTTATTTATTTATTTATTATTTAATAACTGTAAAATAAAGACGAAGACAAAGAAGAAAAACTTGCAACTGATTGACTCCAGAGAGGAGGTTTGGATGTTAGAGTCTCCTCAGCTGACAGAGGAAGAAGAGGACACACACACTAACACACTAACACACACACACACACACACACACACACACACACACACACACACACACACACACACACACACTAACACACTAACACACTAACACACACACACACTAACACATTAACACACACACACACACACTAACACACACACACACACACACACACACACACACACACCCTCTCTCGCCCTGTCTCTCCACGCTGCACTGGGCGAGCTGACAGGATGTTTCGTCCGGTTAAATAGGAGGAAAGGGAGGTACACGGGGCGAGCGAGCTACACACACCCATGTAGAGAGAGAGAGGGCGGGGGGGGGGGGGGGTCAGATAACTGAGACAGGTGAAGTCAGGTGAAGCAGTCCGGACTCGCCTGTGGTTGTCGTGGCGACAGCAGGGTGAAGGATGTGCTGGTTAGTCACCGTGGCGACAGAGAGGGCTCCTCTACTCGACCTTCTGCTCCGTCGTCATGGATCAACGGCAACAACCTCAGCACGGCAACCAGCCGCCGGGATGATGAATGACCACCGCTGAGAGGGGGCCGTGACATGACAAAGGGGGCGGAGCTAGGGTGGACAGAAACAAAGAACACTTTACATGATCATAAAGTTTTCTGTGTTTTTTTTTTTATTATTCAGGTGGTGGTGTCGACGACAGTGAACGTGGACGGTCATGTGCTCGCCGTCTCAGACAACATGTTTGTTCACAACAACTCCAAACATGGCCGCCGAGCCAGGAGGCTGGACCCGTCCGAAGGTAGGCAAAAAAGGCGTTTATACCTGTGAGCCAATCAGAAGCTGACAAACATCAGAAG